GAAGAAGAGGATAGCAAGCACACCTGAAAATTTTGAGGAACCTGTAATCTGGAGGGGAGCTGAACAATACTTCATATGGAGATTTTTTCCGGAGAGTAGCAGTTGGAAAACGATTAAATAAATAAATTGTTGTAAGGGCGGTATCTGCCCAGAAGGAGAAGGGGAGCGACGAGGAGGCCAGTAGAGACAGGGTTGCTTCGATGACATGGCGATGTTTCTGTTCAGCACAACCATTCTGTTCATGTGTGTGAGAATAGGCAAGTTGATGAGTAATGCCGATGGAGTCCAAGTAAGAGGAAGGTTTCTAATATTCTCCACCCCAATCAAATTGCAGAGCCTTGATTTTGGTATTAAATAAATTTTCAAAATGACGCTTAAAAGATAAACATATGTCAAAAACATCCGACTTCCATTGTAAYGGAAATAACCAAGAAAATATAAGCATCAATGAAAATTACATAATAGTGAAACCCTGCATTAGATAAAATTGGAGTTGGTCCCCATACATCTAAAAACACTAAATCTAGTGGACTAKAAACAATTGAAGAAGATGAACGAAGAGATAACCTATGACTCTTACTGACTTGACATGACTCACAAATTAAATTAGGGCTGAAACATAATTGACCTTCATACGGTAATCCGAACTGAGTGACAACTTGCCTCACAATTCGCATAGTTGGATGCCCAAGGCATTTGTGCCAATCATCAACAGAAACATACTCTCCAATTAATGCAGAAGATTGATTTGTGTTAGTTACCTCGCCCGAAAACTGATATAACCCATTTCTATTGGTTCCTCGTATTCACAAGAAAATAATCACCATGAAATTCAAAAAATAATTKGTTATCGCGAGCAAATTTCTGAAMAAATAACAGATTTTTGGAGAGTCCTAGCACATGGAAAATATTAGAAAATTGATGAGTAGCTRTATGAAGAATTGAAGAACCAATATTAACCCACCATATTCAGATCGAGCTTGCAAATTGTCGATGTCATGTGTCATGTGATGCGTGGTACCATTATCCGGGTAYCGGGTTGGATTGAACGCAGACTGAGAGGGAGCAGTGTTACTGTTGTAGGCAGCTGGTTCTGGCTCCTCATTCTTGTAATTGAGATCATAACGCCGATGACATTTAACAACTCCATGTCTCGGTTTATTACACAGCTGACAAACAATCTGACTACCACGTCCTCTACCACCATTTTTCATGCGGATTTTTGAAGAACCGCACCCCCTGCCTCTCTCGCGAGTGTTCTCGAAAGAGGAATATTGATTAATATTTTGATTATTGTTTTTAAAATTGGCCATATTCGCC